CCCTGGGTTTGTGCCTCCTGCTGCCGGAGGGCTCCGGCGCTCGAAGCAGCCGCGCTTGGAAAGTGCCGGGAGCTCCTTCTACGAGGGCCCCTCGTTGGCTTGATACCGCCCCTGCCTTTAACGCGAGCCCCTCGCAGAGCCTTGTGCCTGCGCCGGCCTCTGAGGTGGATAGCCCTGTGGGGCAGGCTGAAGGTGCACCTCGAAGAACGGCCCAGCTTAAAGGACATATACATATATATATATATAGTCTAATCACTTGGCCGGTGGTGCAGTAAGGTGTTTTCTGCTTTTACGTTCTTATTTGTTGATGGATTTTGTTCAAGCCTTTGTAACTTTTATTTTAAAGTCGCTGCTAGTTAGGCATTCACCAAAATCGTTGTTCTGCTCGAGGGGTGTTTGCGAACAGAAAAAGATATTGGTGAGAGTTGGAAGAAAAAGTTGCTAGTCTTAAATAATAGAAATGGAAAGGTATGTTTTGGCTTTAACTCAAAACTGACTTCTAAAAGGTTCTGTGCGTTATTATGTTAAAACTCAGATGTTCAACTAATATAAATCTGATTATAACACAATTGTGGACAAAACCCATTTAAATATGGGCTGGTATAGTGTAAGAAGCGCTGCAGCATGAAAGTAAGCTGAGTTTAGCCTTTCCTTGCTTAACGTTACTTTAGCTTTGGAGATATTCTTTGGTTTTATTCCCCAATGGCTAAAAAGTACAGTTAGGAAAAAAAAAAAGGCAAAAGTGTTTTTTTCTTTGCCTGAACTTTAAATAGCTTGTGGTGAGTGTTTCTTGTAATGCCAGGATCATCAGCCTTTCTCTGACAGACTAAAGTATTTTTCATTCCCAAACCATTGTCCTGGGAGTAAATTGAATATCCCCTGGTGTGATGTTCTTTTAAAAATGGCAATAACAACCACCCAACACTTTTTTACATTTATTAATCTCTACATTAAAAAGAAAACAAAGAAGTTATGTTGTGGTTAAGTGGGTACTTGTTCTGCCAAAATACGTTTCCCCTCAGAACAAAATAGGGAAGCCTAAATGGGTGGTGTAAATTGATTACAGTGGTAGATAATTTTCAAGTATTAAATAGGAGCTGGGAACTGGTAAAATCCATTTATAGTTTATAGCCAGACATTCAATGCTTGAGCTACTAAGAAAAAATATCAGACTTTTGTAATGAAAGTCTGATGTTATTTTTGGCTGTAAGGGAGAAGCTATTGAGAAACGCCATCATTGTTAGCACGTAAGTTTGTGAAACGGGAACGCAGGTTCCTTTGCTAGCGGAGTGATGTGTGCCTGGCTTTCAAATGTCAAGACTTGGTGGGGCTGCCCTGAGAAGACGGTATATTCCTGTCAGGAATTTCTCTACTGGATCTAGGGAACTTCTCATGCTTGGGGCTCTGATTTAAAGCCCAATACTGTATTGTTATGGTGACATTTACAGTATTGGATTTAGCCTTTAACTGTTTACATAGGCCAGTAGGAAGCACTGCTAGTTTTTTATGCGCTGCCATCTCTAAAAATGCTGGTCCTCGTGGTAATCTAGTGTAACGTCCCCTGCCCTCAGCCGAGGCAGCGGGTCAGCCTTGGCGTGGACCTCGGCCATGCGCTGGATGGAGCAGGAAGGGAAGGCTGGGTTTGCATGGAGCGTATTTGGAGCGGGATGGGGGAAGTGTCCAGGAGGGTATAGCTGTGACCAGGATGGAGCACAGCTGCTTCTCCTCAAGCCTTTTCCCCAGAGCCATTTTCTCTGCATTTTCTGTTCTTCCTCCAGCAGTTCCCAAATAACTTGCACGTACCCTGGACATGTTCCTTTTTCATGTTGTATTGTGAGAACTGCTGTATAAGCAGTCTTTGGGTAGGCAGGACTTGGGGAAAAAAAAAAAAAGTGCCCCATAGCACAGTGCAAAGCCTCGTGTGTGGGTATAAGTTTTTTTTTTTTTGACGCTTTCTTTCGTAGATTGTCAATTGAGGTCTGGGTAAGATGTAAGATCATAGTGCTCTTAGTTTAAAAACTCGATGTTAAGGCATGCAGCTCACCCTGTGGCATTTTTTGAGAGTTAACAGCAGTCCATCGGGCTCACAAGTTTGGGAGCTACCTGTGCAGGACTTAGCAAAGGGCACATGGACTCTGTTGCAGAAAATCTAACCTACTTCATTGAAACTATTGTGAAACATTACTTCAAATGTGTTTGATGCAATGGTATAATAACTTATATCACCTTCTATATATATTTTTATATATAGATATATACCTGTGTTTCTACAAAAGGTTTTCTTAATTGCTGGTTGTACAACAGATAAGAGAACTTTCTCCTCTCCTCTGCCCTCCTTCCCTCAGCGTCTCAGTGTGAGAGGAAAGGGGCAGGACTCCAAGGCTGTCCAAAGCACTGGTGGATCGTGAAGGATGTTTCTGACTGAGGCTGCTCAGGAATGATGCCTAATACTTTTGTTATAGCAATATAAGACTTTAAAGGTGGTGCATGCAGGCGTATTCTTCTTGAACTGTGACGTTTGTGTGGGCCAGATTGCAGAACTCACTGATTTTCAAGGAGGCTATCCTGTGCTCCCTTTCCTTATGAAGATATACATCAAAAGCTTGGGCAAGATGAAGAAAGATTTCACTCTTTGAGCAGGCATTATATCTTCAAATAGCACTCACAGTTGTTCATGCTTATCTCTGCACCAAATATTCCCTTTTTTTTTCTTCTGTGTAGTATTTGCAAAGAAGAATAGGAAGAGACCTCACTAGGATGATGGAAAGACAATTTTGACTATCAGATTGTGTCAGCTTTTATCAGAGCCAATGAAAGCTTTATACAGCTGAGAGAAGCCTTGAAAAATAACTTAGGCCGTATGTCTGGTGTAGCAGTGTGCTGTCCTGGTGAACTTTGTGTACTTGGCTTCAATATGGATTTTCAGATTGCTTATAAACATCTGTTCTGAATTTGGTAGGAGGAACATTTACTGGGCTCTTTTGAAGCATGCAGTAAAACTATTTTAACTTAAAATAAATGTCCAAAATTTGGGTAGTATTAATTTAAAACATTGCAATTTCTGCAGGATTTTTGTTGCTGATGGGGCAGCATAGTCCCTCGGTGTTCTTCTCATTGCACCTCTTGATTTTTAAATGGATGTGTCCTCCATCCATTCAGTCTTGGGCTGTGCTATCTGAAGACTAATGTAACTTGGAAAATGTGCCCCAGTACAGGTTGAGATTGGTTTTGGAGTTAACTAGGGTAACAGAAATTGATTGGGAAACATAATAACATGCAGTGATTACATTGCAGGGTTATTTTTAAAAAATCTATGATAGTCACTAAATGCTGTCAAGATTTATTTAAGTTTTCTCATGTACTTGAGTAGTAAGTATTGGCTTTATTGTGCTTAATTATTTTGGTGGATATCTGGTGGTTTATATTTGTTGGACCTGTCTTGCTTTAATACATGACAACTGCTAATGACTCCAATATTTTTGTTTTACTACATGTACTTGTTTTTAAAATAAACAGGCGACTCTCTAAATTAAAAGGTCAGGCCTTTTGTTCAGAGAGTGCATGACTTATTTGAGAGGGTGGAGGAGAAGTGGGGCAAATTTTATGAAGTCTCAAAGAAATTGCTGCCCTCCTTCCTGCCCACTGCTTCCCCCAGCGTTGTGTTCCTGCCTGCACTTCTGTGCTCTGGGTCTGGACTCATCTGAGAGAGATGAAGCAAGATGTGGAAATGCTCCTCCGCAGGGTCTTGGTCCCCTGGCCCATTCTCCCCAGTCTTGCAGGGTGTCTGGTGTCCTTCTCCAGGGCAGAAATGATGTGTTACAGAAACAACAAGTGTTTGGGAGTGACTTTCTCTTGGGCTCACTCTGCGTTTTGGTAGGACTGCCACAGCTGCTTGACTTCTGTGCCAGCCCTGTTGCTGCCTCCCATAGCGAGCTACTGTTCTGTCCCTGGTGTTGCCCTGCCCCAGAACTTTCAGTATCTGGGATGATCCAGGTCTTTTCTTGGACCATGTAGCATCAAATGGTCTTTCTGCAGCTCTTTGTACAGGTAACAACTTCTCACGCCAACTAATTTAGCAGGAGAGGGGCATTTTGCAAACATACCATGAAGTTTTAGAAAAGGAGGGATAAAAGGGGGATGGAGAAACTAAATGTTAAGGTCACTGAGACCTCTGAGGAGCAGAATTCACATCTGTTACAAGAGAGGTGCACTTCAGGGTTGATTTTATTTGTAAACACACCTTTCCTACCTGTGGAGTAATGCACCCATTCCTAAGGAATGAGAATTGTTTTACTGCAAATTGTGGTATGGACATCTGTAAGGATGTACTGACAAAAATGATGCTAAAAGACCTTCTTGTAGTGTTTGTAATCTGAATTTAAGGTCAGGACGTCTAGAACAGCTGTGAATGTGCTTTGCCTCTTGCGCTTTAGTTGTTGAAACAGAGTCTCCTTTTCCAAAATTCTCTGGTTTGTACCTGAATGAGGCATGAAATAAACACGTATTTACAGGAGGATGAACGCTGGGTTTGCAGAGCAGGGGTTTTGGTTTTACCATATGCTCAGTGCTGTAGGTGTAAGCTGCTGCAGAAAGGAAGGGCCTCTATTCCCAGCACTGCGTGTTCCTGCCCCTTCCCTTGCTCTGGCTTCAGCAACCGTGTGAGCACTGTGCTGGCTGCTCTGGAGCAGCTCACCAGCCCTGTGGCACATGGAGCAGTTGTTTTAGTGGGTTCATTTTCTGATCACAGCCGATCCGTGTCATTCCACGTGTGCAGGATTGCTAGATCCAGTGCTAGAGGAGAAGGAGGAGGGAAAACGGCCCTTGCAGCAACAGCCTGCGGTTAAAATACGTTAAGTGTCCTGTGAATCTGCAGCCAGACTTGAGCAAAGTTACCTGGCTGCTGCGCTGAGCAGAGGGTTTGGTGCGTGTGTGTGAGGAGTCACTGTTACCCTGGGGTAGAAGACAGCGTGGTAGTTTTGTGTTGCTTCTATGGTACTGGTTTTGTATCTTAAATTTGTCATAGTGAAGGTCTGATGTTTGGAACTTCTTTCATCTTGAATCTGCGGTAATGCTTTTCATCTGGGAGGACATTGAGTGGCTAAAACCCACTCCGCGAAGTCATTTGTTTGTAGGCCTGTGGGCAAGGAGTTTCATTTAATTATGATAATAATAGGGCTGGGTTGCTCTGCTTGTTACTGAGGTTGCCTTTTATTTGGGATTGTAATACCCTGGCACGTGAAGCTACTTAAAGTTTTACCAGATTTTAACCATATGGGTAAAAGGCTTCAATGCATGAAGGCCTGCCTCAGGCTAGATATTCCTATTTCGTTTCATTTAAACTTCGCCCAGAACAATTCAGCTGCTTCAGAAATGAGGTTAAGGGAAAAATATGCTTTTAAATATTTAAAAGCAACGTACGGTGACCTATTCTTTGAACTTCTGCATTGATTTGAAATGTGAAATCAAGTATGTACTTTTTTTTTTTTGATAACCCTATCTATGTCCACCTGCTTTTGTTCAAGTTCTGAATAAGTAAAAAAGTGGCATACGGCATAGATTAGCTGTGGAGATTGGAAAGAAAAATTGTGAAAGAAAAATCTCCAGATCGTTCTGGAGACGTGGAAAGACAGGAGGAACAGGCAATGGAGTACGTGCCACTGAAGCAAGCCCCCCTGAAAGGAGAACCCGGGGTCCCTCCAGATTTGTCTGTCTCTTGCTGTTAATAAATTCTGGTAAAATTGCCTGTCAGAACGCCCCATCTCTTTGATCTGGTCCAATACAGAAGTGTCATCTTTGTCCGTTATCTTACATGGCAGAGATTTCCAGGTGGTCAGGGAAGACCCCAAACTCGTTACCTGTGCAAATCCAGGAAATTGCCCCCATGCAGGTTAAACGTCTCGTGCAAGTTTCTCCCTTAGATAGCCCAAGCCTCCTTTGCTGCTCTGTGTGGCAGGTACCCCAGGGGAGCTGGTGCACGTTTGGTTTGCTCTGAGCAGTCCTCTTCTGCCTGGGGACTAACTCAGGATGTCCCAGGGGCTGAAGTGCTGCAAGCTCTCTACAGCAAGGGCGTTTCAGTAGAGATGTTCGGGGCGTGGGTTCATGTGACACTGTAAGAGATTTAAAGCCCTCATTCAGGGTTGTAAAATAAATATATTTTTAGGTGACAAGAAGTTCTGTACTTCCTCCGAGTTGTTGAAAGCTGAAAACTTTAGTTTTTGAAACAGGTTGTTAGTTAGTCTCAGCAGTCACTGAGAGGAGAGTGTAATTGGGGGGAGTATAGAGTTTTGTATAAATGTCAGGAAATCTGCTAGAAGACACTTATTAAAATGCTCGAGGAATGGTGGAGTGAATGTGAATCTTGCCACTCTTGTTTTAACTTAACAGTTTATAACTGACAAGATGATACCAAGCCATCCGGTTAACATGTGCTCCCTATTCACCTAGTCTCAGCTGTTCTTGCCTTTCCCTTCAGATTAACTTTAAACTAATCATGACACGACTGTACCAAGGAGGAAGATTTTATTTCTAAACCATTTTTTTTCCCAATTTTGCAAAGGTATTAGGCATAATTAGAACCACGTGTTTTGGTAAAGTTGCAGCTTGCGAAGTTTTTCAGAGCTGCTTCGTTATCAGAGTATAAAATAAACTGTAAAAGTTTCTCAGGAGTAGAGAGATCCTTTGCCTTTCTGCTGTCAGATAAGGAGGTCGTTGACCTCTTCTTCCTCATTTCTGTTTTGCTATATATATAAATCCATAATGTCCTTTCTTCATCTGTAAATTGTGATTTTTAAATAACTTTTAAATGACTGGGATTTTGCCAAATTGTATTTACTTCTTTTTTTTTTTCCCCCATAGTACTCTCCAAAACAACATACCTCTTGGACTGTAAATAAGAATGCTTTTCATTTATTTATCTTCATGTAAGCGTGTGAATAAGAGCATTCTGATCTTCAAGTAGTTTTGATGCTGCGGGCCCAGAATTAACCTTTTGCTCTAGTCGCATTTTTTCATTCTTTTCCAATGCTGCTCATTTATGGAAGTAGAACCTGGCTGCAGTAGATTCCAGTGGTTGCTGTGTTCAATGGGAATTTTATGTTGATAGTATGTATTAATCGTTAGCGCACACGAGACTATCCTTCTCACTTGCATTTCAGGATGGTTTTGTTAATGACAATTATTCTGAATAAAGTAGATGTCACAGAGTGTTTTATAAACAAGAGTATTTGTTAAATTTGTTTCAATTTGCATTTTTTTAAGTAAAGGCAGATTTGTGGAGCTTATGACTTTGAAACATAACTTTCTCTGTCTTCATAATTTATATGGATTTTTGAATGTGTTTTGTTTCTAGGGAGAGTGCAGAAGGAGGAGAAGTGATTGTAGAAGTTGATGACAAAGTGGCAAAAGTCAGAAATATAAAGGTATGCTTTTTGCTTGATTTCCCACGTGACAGTTTTCTATATTTGCTTGACCAGTATTCAGGGAAAAAAATTAATTGTCACAGTTTTAGGATTGAAGCAAAAGTGTTTTTGTATAGACAGGGAATGTCTGTATAAAACAGCATTCAGCTGTGGTATCCTTGTTTTCTACATTTTGTATTTACCAAATTTGCTGCACCCTGGCTGCAAGCCATCATTCAAGTATGTTAGTAAATTGTTTAGGATTTTGCACTTATCTTGCTGTAACCAACATCTGGATATTTTATCTTCCCGTTTTTCCTTCTCCTCCTTTCCTATTTGCACTCAAAGTACAACTACTTCTGTGAAATGGAGCAATATGTGTTCAGCTCCAGTTCAGGCCTTGGCAAATGGGGGAGAGCTGTAAGAATAAGCTTAATACAACCCAGCTTGCATGGGCATCAACCTCGTGTTTTAGACTCTGGGGATCCTTAAAGCTGCCATGCTGCTCCAAGGAATTAATAGAATAGGAATAGAGCAATTTTATATTGTCTAACATTTTTTGCTTCAAAAGCAAATAAATGACCTGTGGGCTTACCAAGATTGTGGTAAGTGGAGATTCTGTAAAGACAAATGTGTTAAATTACTTACCTCTTTCTCTTTACAGCTGCAAGCAATTCAGTAGTTTTAGATGGTTGGTTCAAAAGTTGAATGAATTCATTTGATCTTCTTACCCTTTTCCGTTATAAATGTATATACATTTTTTTTGTATTGACACTAGATATTCTCTCTTAAAGACATAAGCCGGGGGAAATTCAGTTTGGAGATCTCTCTCACGTATATAAAGTATTGTTTATGATCTGTAGTTCTTTTCTTTATTGTGACTGGTGTTCAGGCACTGCTTTTTGTAGAATTTGCTAGTTTAAAATCAGAATAACAACACTTGTGCCAATGGAATTGCCATCGGTAGGCCAAAGTTTTCACTAAAACCAGGCCTTCAAGTAACTTGTAATGATCACTTCTTTATCATGATCAGGTGCAAGTGATTACTTCTGGACATGAAGACCTTTCTCTGTCCAGGGGTATCCAGGGCTGTAAATAAGCTATGGAATAAAGAGTGAGATATGGACAGAAAACCTGGCTATCACAGCACCATTCTAAACTGCTAGGCCATTTTCTCCAAGAAAAAAAAAATGAAAGTAAAATATTGAAGGGTTGTATTTTCAGAGTTTGAGATTTGCTAACTCTCCAAAATAATTTTCCCCAGTTCCTTACATGTGTGATAAAGATTTCCAAATAACTTTTCCTGTTTGGCTATATTGTTGTCTGTTCATTTTTATTTTCTTAAGAAATGCTTTGGTGACCAAGACAAATGTGCGGATCTGGGTTGCTCAGTCTATTGGCCACAGCTGGGAGGGCCTCAGTGAGCAGGTGGAGGCCGTAGCCCTGAGGCTGTGTAATTGGGTCCAGCTGAGCCTTGTTAGACCCGTGCTTCTTTTAAAGAAGAAAATCCATTTTAAAGAGGCCTCTTTAGGGTGCTGGGAGATGGGGGTAGAGTGGAAGGCTCCTGCTGCTGGTCACTCATCTAACTGGGATGATATAGAGGTACAAGAGCTGGCCTTGGGCTGCTTTGGGGCTTGATGTTTTTTTTCCCTGGTGAGTCTTGTGAAGAGGGAGTTTGTTTTGTGCACAAGCTAAGGGTATGTGGTCTGTAATTGTTCGTACACTGGTCTAAACTAGTCTGGATCAAGTGTTTGTATGCTTACGTTCCCATAATTTTACTTGGGATAATGGTGCGTTGTGTTTTAAGAAATGAGAAGCTTTGTCAGAAGCTATTTCCAAATTTGTAAGGTACAGGCATGTATTGCATGTCTACTTGCATCAGGCAAAAAGCTATAATATTTTACTTTAATAAACATGCAGCTACTCTGTGATTAGGTGACTGTGTTTCCTGATGGGCAGGAGAAATAAAAGAAAGTAGAAGGTAACTGCATAAAAAGGTATTAACCTAAAAAAATCCTCATTGTTAAACATGGTCAAGAAGATCATTAAGATGTTAGCTCTAGCTAAAGGAAGTCTTGCTGGTAGTTAATTCAATGTGACAAAATTAGATTTATGCTGTTAATATTTGAAGCTACTTTACTTCAAGGATAACTGTAAATTATTTTTCCCCTCTTTCACTTTTTCTTGATTTGTAAAAAGGTTGTTAAATGAGCCTCTAAATTCATTTTTCTCAGTAGACTCTGTAGTTAATGGCAGTGTTAGGATTTTGAGTGCCTTTTATCCCCTAATCTAACAAATATCACTGCTATCCCCGGTTTGAGGCTATGCTAGTTGAGCAGCCTGTTTAGGCTGATTAATAGTGAGTCTTTTTTAAACTTATGTTATTGACCATGTCAATGTTATTAATAAAGTTATGGACTGTATCAGTGTTACATATGGCTCCTTTCACTTTTTTTGTAATATTATGATCCATTACTTTCTTGCTTTGATTAGAAGAACAGCAACATATAGTTCCTATGTAAGCTCATAGGCTTGTCTATTTTATTCTAAACTTCTTGAGCAGGATTGTAAAGGAAGGTCTGTGTGATTCTCCTAATCTTTCAGTCACTATTTGTGGCTCTGTGTAGAATTATATGTAGTTTCCCAGGCTAGTTGAAAAGATGTTGTCCTATCCCAAAAAAGCTTAAAATTGCACTGGTTGGTATTAATACTCTGGGCCTTATTTATTGATGCTTTATGATAAATAAAAGCATGGCAATAAAATGCCTGTCTGCAGGCAAAATAATTACACAGCCCTATCAAGAAGGTTTATCTGTGAATATGCTTTTTATGTATACCTTTTTCAAATTATTTGAATTTTAGATGCTAAATATAAGAAATCATTTTATTAATTCTACACTGAAAAAATCCAAAACAAGTGTGGCTCTTGGCGGGGGCAGGGAAGGGGGGGCAAAACTGGCAATTAAATACCAGCTAATTTCAGCTTTTCATCTGTTTCCTCTCCTGATCTACAAACACTCCTTTTGCTTCCAGTCAGAAGATACTTTATTTCTAGCACATAGGGATGGGGGGAAGAACTCGACTGTGACTTTTGGCTGGCTGCAGAAGAGCTCAACTGCTTGGATAGTGGTAGTCCTTTGCTGTGTCCCCTCATGTTTCCATAAGCACAAAAAAGTTCTCTTTCAGCTCACTTGGAGAAATACTTACCTAGAGCAGCAATTTGTCATTTCTCAGTTTCATGGAGGGAATACAGAGAGATGATAGAGCTCTTCTGCCTAACATAATGTTGTGAGGATTCAGGAAATTACAGTACACAACTTGGAGAGCCCTAGCTGTAGTACACAAGCCCTTCAGCAGGTCTGTTATGGATGCCTCCCTCTCACCCTAAGAATCAAAGTAAAAATAATAAAAAAGGTGAATTATTTGCCTTCCCCCCCCCCCAACACCCAGTATATAGTCTTCATAAACTTTTGCTAGTTTTAAAATGCTTACTTTTTGGTAATCTTCAAAGCAAACTGAGATTTCTGTCTCTTGCTGTGTTTTCAGGTGGACAGCAGGCTTGACAGCACTTGGGACTCCAGAGGAAAGATAGTGGCATTCAGCTTTGATTACTGCTATTGGTCTGTTGATCCCGAAGACCCCAAATATGCATCTCAGGAAATGGTGAGTGATGCCTTTCTTCATGTCTGTCTCTGTTCCCACCCTGTTCTGCCTTCTATCTTGCATCTACAGAAAGAGGCTGAAGAATAGAGCAGATGAAACTTACTTTTCCTTTTGCCTCTTTTTTTTTGTCATGTTGTTTGTAATACCGCAGTGCTCAGAACTACGTTTGACTTAAGCAGAAGTAGCTGTGCTGCAGGATTCTTGGTCGGTATGGTACCATGCTGGGGTCTGTCAGCTTTAATAGCTGTCATGGCTTGGGATGATCTCAGGGCTTTATGAGGACAACAAGAATCATCTTGCAGTTTCTTAGACCTTTTATCAATGCAGCAAGCTCTCTAGCCTGCTCTCCTTGCTGGGGCTGGGTAGGTCTTCCGAATGCTTTGGAGAGCCTTGTGTTATCATGCAGGGACATGCAGTGTGTCATGTCCCAGTGCAAACACTGGCAGGGTGGAAGACAGGCTGGCTTGAGAGCCGTGCTCCGGGTCCCGTGCTGCTCGCCGGTGGCACGGCTGCCGCGGTGCCTCAGGGGCCACTGAGCACCGCTACGTGCGCTGGGCAGCTCGCAGAGCCTCACCAGTGCTTTGACAGACCTGGAAGCATTAGCGAGTTTCTTTTGGCTCTTTATTGGTGAGTCAAGGAACTACTAAAACATTGAATATCTCTTAGAAGAAGGCTGCTGGAATGCTACAGTCTTACCTTGCTTTTGTGTGCTTGTCGGCCCTTCAAGCTGTTGATGAAGGAATTTTATTGTCCTAATCCCATGCTGTGAATCATCTCTTTGGTGCTGCCGGCAGGTTCTGAGCAGCTTCACGGCTGCAGAGATGTGCTGGCAGACCAGGGGCCTCAGTCACACTGTCCTGCCCTAAATGCTCCCTTTCATGAGCTGACCTTGGGCTGCTCTATCTCCTCTAAGATGTGGTGCCAGCTCTTATCGCAGGTGCCTGGTGAGCTGATGGGTGATGAAAAGCAGGCTGAAGTGTCCACCTTCAGGCTCACCTTTGCAGAATGCCCTCCTGTAGGGAACTGTATCCTCGTCCTCCACGTGGAAGTCCTGGCAGTTTCTTGAGTTGTTGTGGATTCTGTGGCATGGTGGTAGTAGGGGAGATCTGACAGTCCCAATGTTTGGCCAAAATAATGACTTTAATGATACAGATCTGCTTCTCTTGAATATTTTAACTGTTTCTTTTGGATGTTGTTACTGTTCCCTTGAGGCTTCTGAGGTTCCCTTGGATTTCAGAGATGACTGCATTCTTTATATCTTTTGATTTTACAGGTACTTGTGATAGGCATAAGTCACTCTTGTAATGGGAACTTTTAAACAAAATATTTGAAAACACTGCAACTTCCCTCTTTACAGAAAAACGTGCTTTCTCTAGCACCTATATTTCTTTCTGTATTTATATTTGCAAATAATGTTAATATATGTTACTCTGTTCTCAATTCATTCATGTTAATATTTCTTCCACTGTCTTTTTATATCATAAAAAGATGGGAAGGTATTTTCCCCTTAAATTTGGTGAAAGGACGTCTAACACAGAGTAAGCTGAAGAGGAGGTGACACATGATATGCCATTATTATTATTTTTAGTAGCACTACAACTGGAAGTGTGTTTTCCCTTAAAGCTGGAACAAACATAGTCAAAAATATAAATTACTTGCAAGAAATTGGGAAGGAATTGTCTGTGGCTTGTTTGTTTTTTCAAAGTGAATGTAAAAAGTAATTCCCAGTTCATAATATATACAAACTTTCCAGACTGGAATTAGACTAAATTAAAATCAAAACTTTTTTTTTTAAACTACTGAGAGCAGAGCCAATCACTTCTGCTATCCTGGAAATGGGTTGCTTAGAAGACACAAGGTATTGGATAGTGGATGCTTTCAGGTTTAAGAAACTTTGGTTACTGCAATTCAAGATTATTCTCTTATTCAAAACAGTTGAGGAACTGGATATGAGCCAGAAATCAGTGTTCTTTGTTTCTCTTCTAACCACAGATGAAAATGAAGTGCTAAGCTTTCTAATCATGATCCAGTAATTTGAAGTCTTAATAGCACTGGTCTGAATTTTGAGTCTTCTTTGAGATGATGTATGAATTCTTTATGAAGTGCAAGGTTTGTGAAACAGTTCATCTACACAAGTATTATGTTCATTTTCTAAATAGTCTGAAGGCCCTGTGCAATCTCTGCTTTTTTATTATTATTATTTTTATTATTTATTATTTTTTTTAGGGGGGTCAGTTTGGGATACATTGGGGCTGTAGTTTTTTTCTTCAAAACAAAAGGAAACTCAAAAGCTGTAAGAACAAAAATTCATTAAATTCTGATCTTACCTCTATACCTTCTGTTAACGTGGATTTTCTATGCTTATTTATGAAGCGACGAGTATCCCAAACAATCACTGTCAAAATATTGTTCCAGTTAGTAATACATGTAAGAAACTAATAATTCAGAACATGCTGCTTTTCCTGCTGTTTTTGAGCTGTGCGTTGTGGTGTTTTTTTTTTTCCCCCCCCTGTTCCCTTATAGTGCAGAAGTAGGTTAGTTTTGCCCTGGGATATTGCTGAATGCCTGTGCCTGGGCTCTACTGTGTGCAGGCAGCAAGGCAGAGATTCCCCAGGTCTCTCTGCAGTCTTGAATTAAGCATTTCTGGGAGGTGCTTTTGGAGCTTTTAAAAACAAACAAAAGACTTCACTGAAAAGTTACATTTCAGTATAAGTAACTTCCCTAAAATGTAAACTGGTTTTATTTTGACCTAAGCGGACTACTCTGTGTGTAGTATTCAGGATTGTTTTTCGCATGTGGTGTTGGAAATTCATCACTGGCTATTGGATACTTATGGGATTATCCTTTAATAAATGTTCATGGCATATTTGTTTTGCAGTAAAAATGGCTACTAACCTGTAAGGCAGTGATACATTGTTTGCTAATGATATAATGATGGTATATTTTATAATCTAACAGGCAGGTTCAGGCTGACAGGTTCATCCTTGCAGGTAATAAGTGGGTACTTTGAGACCTTTAAGTTGTCCTGTGAACAAACACCACATGGTAGCAGTGCTTAAATTGGGCCTCACTTCTTCATGCAAAGTCTCAAGTATGCCGTGCACAAACATAGGAACACACGGAAGCAGCGAGTATTCTGGGGGTGGTTGTTGTGACTTCTCCGCTCAGCTTCCCTCCAGCCATCCTACCCATCCGGTGATTGTGTCCGTGTGGTGACTGCAGTGGGCAGCCTGACCCACAGGATGTGCGAGCAGGGGTTGACACGCAGCCCTTGCCAGAGGTAGCTGCTGTGCCCTAACCTGCTCCCATTGGTAAGGGGGATGCATCCCGTGACTAACGGGCTGTGAACGGTGGCGCTGGTGGCATCCAGGATGCTGTCTTTTCCTGCCAACTTGCGCTGATTTTAGTAGGAGCCGGATCTCCGATTATTCCTGAAACATGATCTGTAAAACTAAAACTCAGTTCCTGTGCCTCAAGAGCATAAGATTTTTATCTTTAGGCAAGGTCTGATTTGGACTTCAGACTTTTATCTCAGGCTTTCAAAAGAATGAAGTAAATGATGTTCAGAAAGCTCACTCCTCTTTCACTGTTCTTTCGTGTAACTTGTTAGTTCCTTTTTGCTTTTTTGGGTTTTTTGGCTGATAAGGATGATGTTTAAATTTGGCATAGTAGTAGGCTCATGCAGTTATGAATAGAGACAGACACTAAAGGAATGTTATCATCTTTGTTACTACTGTGTATATATACTGCTATATATAATATCGTTATGCATTATTCATGTGCTATACATGTTTAATCTTGTGTGTTCAGACATATTTTGTTATATATGTTTATATACATGACACCTGAAAACAAAGACATTGAATAAACTTTTTTTTAATTGTATTTCTTGTTTGTTTTAAAGTATCAAAATTTGCTTTTCATCACATCTGGACTTCTCAGCACAGTTGGGTTTGTGTACCAGATAAGAAAAACAGCTGGGAAAGGAATAAAAAGAAATATAACTTTCTTGCCTTCTATCAGAGCATATCTAAAAGCCAAAGAAAAAATGGAACTTGTATGTTAGTTTTAATGTGCAAGATTTTTAATAACGCCCTAGCCTTTAAGTTAAGTTTTATAATGGTACGATTTAGATTCAGTCTGCAGATTGGGGGAGTTCAGAGAAGTTGCACATCAATACTCTAAAGCCAAAATATTGCAGCTTATTTTCAACCCAGTCATGAGCCTAAATAACTATCCTTTCACCTCTGCTCCTGTCCCCTTTCTGCTGACAGCTGGAGGAAAATTCCCTCCTGTTCTAAGGATGGCTGTGATACCTGTGTGCCCATCTGTCCTGTGCATGGTGCAAGCTTTTACTTGCCTGCTCAGTTCTTGAGGCAAATTCATAATCACTCCTCTGGCACATGCTTTTAGTTCTCAGGACTATAACAGAATAAAGCTTGAACTTTAATTTTTTCAAAAATTTTTCATTCGTTCTCTGTTCTTCCTCACCCTTGATGTAAAAGAAGGGAGCAACATGGCGAAGGAGGTGGCCGTGGGTGTAAATGGCATTTTCTCATGGCATATTTGAGGAGCAGCAGCATTCCATCTGCTACGCCTTTTTTTTTTTTTTTTTTTTCCCCTCCCTCTAACCCAGAGTGAGACAGAAACGAAAGGAGCTGCATGTAAGAAAAAGGCTTTTTGTGCAATAATTGCATCAGTATTTAATGGATTGCAGTGGAGGGAGGGAAACCTCCCTGAGTGCATGAGGTCTCTTATGCGTCTTCTGCCAGTAACACAGCTGCTGTGTTCAGTTTGCATTCAGATAAGGTCATGATTTCCGGCTATGCCGTTTTCTTTGCTCTGCACAAAACTTATCCGGAAATTAACAGTGAATAATTGTAAGCATCAAGGCAGATTTTACTGGAGGACAAAAGAAAATCAGTTTTCATTGGTGCTGTAGCATGAATTACCTCAAATTATTTTTGTGAGGCAAAAAGAGGAAAAATAGTTTTAAATAG